GCAGTCGTGTGGAAGATGGGCATCTTGGTGATGGTTTAGGGGTTAATTCTGAGTCGATCCTACACAACGAGTGGGTATGGCACAGCAAAGTTCCCACCAGGGTTTGCCAGAAGACACACATCCTTGCTGCAGCACAAAAAGACATACAATAAATACTACCTACTGGAGAAAGGACTCCTTCCAGGACTTGCACTCTGTACAGATAACTTTACGCCCACAGTCAGGACACAGCATTTACCTCAGACCTCACCTTAGATGGGAATTTATCATGAGACATCTCTAATAGCAACACTTTCTCTATTAGCAAAACATCAAACTCCAACTTCTTCTGCATGTTTAGAGCACACATGGGCTGGACACCAGCCCTGACCTGAAATAAAACGGAATACGATGCAATGGGTGGCAGGCCCCTTGTGAAATCAACCTTAAATTTTCACTGTTCAAAGCGTCTTGAAAACAGAAGCCCCAAGGTTCCTTGACCAGCAAGGTGTGATAATGAAAAGACAGTAACCACAGCCATTATGCAGAGCCAGAAAAAGGAAAAACACAGCGCTGAGCTCCACTTCCATGTAGGCCCTTCAGACATCCAGTCTCCATCCACTGGCACAAGTCAGGAAAATCCCCTTCAGGTGCTCATTTCTTACAGAGAAAAAACAAAACAAAACAAAACAAACCCCACAAAACCCCCAAAAAACCCAGACAATATAACCTGGGACACCTCAAAGTCTCATTTAAAACTTTTATGGAAACGTTCACCACATCAGAGGGACGATCCAGGAGAGAAAGAAATCACTTGGCTACTTGGGCTACTGGAAGAAGTAAGCACCAGTTTAATTCCGTTTTGGTACGCAAGTCCTGATCCTGGTAACACCATCAACAAGTGATTCTAGGAGCCCTGCCAAGGAGGAATGCAAGTCATTCCTGCGTGCCTGGCCAACCTGAGGTGCCCAGCATCCCGCTCACAGACACGGTGAAGCAGGGAGTTCTCCAGTAACCTGTGTGAACTGGGCAAATTAATAATAAAAGACCTGCATAAAAACCATGTCTTGATGGGCTGAGAAACAGCTAGATCACCTGAGAGATCATCTGAGACCGGACCACACTCCAGCAAAGATGTTGCCACACTTGCTGAGTAGCATCAGCTCCTCTGGATTCCTTTCTTCACCTTTCTAAAAGGTTTATTTAGTATCTGACAAGTGTGGAACGCTGTGCCTGCACCCTATGTAGGGATGGGTGTGGAGAGACATGGATATGGAGCGACAGGATGAGAGCCCACTGTCTGCAAACAGGCTTGAAACAACACGGCTCTTCCCAGGTAAAGATTCTGATTGTCTGCAGCAGTCACTGGAGCTGGTCATTGCCACTGGTGACACATATGGAAAAGACAAAAAAAATAGATAAAAAATAACTTGAGACAGCAGAATTATTATAATAACCATCCCAGAGGCCAAGAAGCACCATATAAACCCAGATGAAAATAAGAATTACAGTGCTATTTATCATCCTGGAAACATATTAATATAAAATGTATTTAAAAATAAAGTCTTCTGGTTCATAAACGCTTTTGTTTCCAAAGCTTTTGACTAAATCGGTCTCCTATATATCCCATAAAGACAAAATCTGGGAACTAGTACCTCCAAAACCAGGCCAAATGTAAAGAGATCCATCCCTAGAGTTAACTAACTTAACTAATTATAAGTTACTAACTATAACTTACTAGCTAATAATTAAGTCCTTATTTTAACCAGTTCTGAAAGAGCAATTTCAAAGCAAAATCCACCTTGCTGGCAAACAGTGAGCACAAAGCGGATCAGCTTCCCAGTGCTCCCATTTTACCTTACGGCATTCTCAGTGACAATGTTTGAGTTTTAAAACCAGTCTGACAACAAAATACAGTAAAAACAGTTTTGTGCATGACACGACATCCAGCACACTGAATGACACTCCAGCAGTTCTTACTGTAAGACACAAGAACATCACACAGCAGGCCAGAAGAAAAACGAGTTTTTTGAGTGACTTTTGAGTGCATGCACTTAATTATCCGTGTGGATAACTGACAGCAGACCCAGAACAGGTTGAGGTGCAGACCCAGAACACGTTGAGGTGCAGACCCAGAACATGTTGAGGTGAAAGGCAAAGCTGCTGGTGCCGAGTGGTGTTTGTTGCCCAGCAGTGCCAGTTCACTAAAGGGCGACGTGGAACAGTTTGGGTTGGAAGGGACCTCAAAGACCATCCAGTTCCAACCCCCTGCCATGGGCAGGGACACCTTCCTCTAGATCAAGTGGCTCAAAGCCTCATCCGACCTGGCCTCGAATGCTTCCAGGGACAGTAATTCTAGTGTTATAGCCCCCATCTTCCTGCTCATCTTTTCCAGCACCTGTTGGCAGCCCGGACAGTTCTCCAGCCCCAACAATCCCTCCCACCCCATCTCAAGTCACCGGCAGTTTGTTCACCTCAACCACACTATAAAAAAGTACATCTCAGGTCTTTAGAAGATGCTTTCCTGGCCAGTGACGCCCATAGGTGTCAGATGTCCTCGGTCATTCCTCCCAGTCTTCCATTGCCCACTCGGGCATCTTGGAGCAATACTCAAACTCCGCTCCCTTGTAGCGCAAGGCATGGAGGTACATCACCAGCTCCCTGGGAGACGGGTCCCGCCGTGTGATTTTACACTCCACACACAAAGGGTCCTTCTCTTCCGAGCTCTTTTGTTCCGTTTGCCCCTCTTGTTTCTCACATGAACCGAGTTCTGTAGTTTTTCCAAGCGTTTCCAGGCTAGAATCAGAGCTCGGTGGACAAGCTGCTACGTCATTTCTCTGGGGATCTTTAGTGTCCTTGGCAGGGCAGGAGTTCTCATTTATGGGATCAGCCTGGGTGGACTTTGGGCAGTCACTTGAATCCCCACAGACTTTGTTTTCAGCATCAGAGTTCAAGTCCTCCTCCGAAATACCCAAGATATCCAGGCTCTGTTTGGAACGATGCTCCTCTACCAGCGCCTTCAGGAGTTCTTCATCCGTTTTATCGATCTTGCCACCTTTGCCCCTGTCAGGGCCCCAGGCTTCCATGTTATAGATGGGGTCGTTGACAATGGGGTGCCCCAAGAACTGCAAATGGACCCGGATCTGGTGCGTGCGGCCCGTACGCGGAAGGCACTTGACCACGCTGGTCTTGCCGTTGTAACTGAGCCTCTGGAAGATGGTTTTGCAGAATTTCCCTTTGGGGTCCACGCGGCACACTCCCACTTTGTAAGAAACAACCAGTATGGGCTCTTCACAGACCACTTCGTGTTCTGGAAACTCCCCCACCACACGACAGACGTACTCCTTTTCCAGCTATGGGGAGACACAAGAGTAACTCTCAGAAAACGGAACAGAAAACTGTCTCTGTCCTGATTACACTTGAGTCCCGTCCTAGCTACTCCTCTCTTTCTCTTCAGTGAAACACGATTGTAGGCAACATACTGCCCAAATTTTGGAGAGAGGAAAATAAATAAAAGCAGCTATTTAAAGCCAAATTTCTCCCATGCTTTCCCCACCTAGTTGGGAAATCAAGAACACAAGGGCCTGGCCTATTTTCCTCATATTAAACTCCAGAGTCATCTCTCAGAGTACAGCCTTGAAGCAAATCCTGGAAACTTGTGCCCTACAGCTACAGTTCTGCTGGGGTCAAGAGCCACTAGAAAAACGAGAAAAACATCTAAAATTAAAAAAGTGTTAGATAACAGGCACGTTTCTGCTTACAAATAGAACTGCTCTCTGACTGTTTTGCACAATCCCAGACAGTCCGCACAGTCCCCTGGGGCAGGAGATCCCTTTCAACCTATTATCACCAAAATCAATTAAATTTTGGTCAGTCTTTTTCTCCTGATGCCTCTCGTGCTTGATACCGTAAGACAACCACAAGACGTTTTGGGAATTTGTACTCACTTAGACCAAAAATTTAGCTGACTTTGGACCTAACCTGTTTCAAGACAATACTGTGCAAGAGACTCCAAAAACTACTTGGCTCTCACCTGCCTCTCCCGAACCTGCTCATCGATCCTCTTGGACACCTCCGCGGTCTTGGCAAACATAAGCACCCCCGAGGTCATGCGATCGAGCCGGTGAATGGTGTGCAGCTCCTTCAGGTCGTGCTCTTTGCCGAGGATGAAGATGACAGTGTTGTGACGAACCCTGCCGCAGGGATGCACTGGCAAAGAGGAGGGTTTGTCCACAACCACCACCTCGTCGTCCTCTGCCAAGATCTGGATAGGCTGGGCAGTGACCGGCGGCTCGTGGCGATGCACCGTATTCCTGAGGAAATCGTTATTCTGCAAGACAGATG